CTTTCTCTCATCCCTCTCTCTGACACTGATGGATGGCTGCCTTCACCCGTTTATCTCCTTTACATATTTCTCAGCCCGTCCGCTTAACGACACACATTCATACACAGCGACTCCTCATTGCTTTGACTTCCTGAAACTCTTCCTCCTTCCACACACCTCAACTACTTATTGTACACTGTTCCATTTCTCTTCCATCTGACACCAACTCCCTCCTCCATCTTGTGCACTCTCCTCTCAAATGCTTCTGTTTCACTCGTCCCCCTCACTGGATTTCATGCAGTTAGCCTCTTGTTGCACCCAACATTCATTATTTGTTTTTGTAGCCAATGCTGTTATCCCTCTGGTTGTGTTTTTTTTTTTTAATCCTGGATGACTAAAAGAAACAAAATATGACAGAAATGACAGAGGAGTGATAGTATCAAAAGGATGAGTGGGTTTACAGTGCACACGATTGCTGCTTGAAGAGGCTATGTGGGCGTTCTTTTGTTCCTTGCCTGGAGAGAATTTGTGTGTGTATGTGTACGTGTGTGTGTGTGTTGGCCTCCCTATAATTATGTTTGTGTGGGTAGACTGTTTTGGTATGCTCGCTGTTGTTCTGTGTGCAAGTGCTAAGCTTATATTAAGCACCCAGATTTTGAGCAAGAAAATATATCATTTGAGAAATCCAGGGGACTAAGGGACTACCTATGTCTGTGTGTGTGTGTGTGTGTGAGAGAGAGAGAGAGTGTGTGTATAACCCCGACATCTGATTCAACACAGCAGGGTCGAGATCAACCCAGTCACTACTTCATTATGATTTACACTTCAACTGGATCAGATTGTGTATTTACCAAAACACACAGATGAATGGCTGTCAGCTGTTCTGTATGGAGCTTTGTGTTTCACCTATGCACACTCCAATCATATCTGGGGATTACTCGGCAAGTGTTAAGTGCTTTCAACAGCATTCCCCAGTTTCCTTGTTAGTTAACACCGCAGCATGCCCTATTAAAGTCAATTATAAAGGTACTGGCAGTTACACACAGATGGAAACTCAGATTCATTGTTTGATAGATAAAGATGCAAGGGCAAAAGTGCAAATGTGTCTTACATCTCTGGATACATACAGGGAAGCAGCCACATCTATCATCTCAATCATCGCAGATGTTATTAAGGTCAGGACCACAGCTCAGTTCTGCTGGCTGTAACTTGATAAACATTTCTTCGTTCACGTGACGCTGCTTTGCTTTTCTGAGTATTGCTTGCTCCAACACACAGACAACAAGGTGAAACCCTCCACAGAGCATTTTAGTTCATGTTTCCTTGCTCTTGCTTCATGCGGCCCACCCCACCAGTCTGTTCTGTGTTCTCCGGGGACATGAGGAAACAGCCATAGTGCTATTGCAAAACACATCCCAAAATAAACCGAACAAAGGAAAACTGTGGCTTTGGACACTCGCACACCCGCAACATCTGAAAGCCAAATTCCAGCCAACGTGTGTGTGTTTGCTTTCACCTGTGTTTTCTTGCTGCTGATACGGCAGCAGACTCTAGACTCTCTTATGTCAGAGCGCCCTTAATGCAGAAGGAATGAAATAATAATTCACATGCACGGGCTCAAATGCACACACTTGACAGGCAGTAGTGTCTAATCTCTGCAGAGCAGGCTATTTATGTACACTAGCCACTTAATATATGTCACTGTGCATTACATTAGCTTACACTTAACGTTGTAGATAGGCGACTGCTCAAACACATTCAGATACTGACACATACCATCCTGCACCTGCAATAGTCCAGCTCGTAAGATAAAACCTTATTGATCTGCAGCAAGGAAACATCTGCTGTTGCATCTGCACTGGATGGTGTTTGAAGAAGGAGGTAAAGATGATGAAGGAAATAAGAAATAAGGGGTAAATACTGATAGACACACTTGTTAGGAAGTTAGCAACATGAGCAGTGAAAGTCAAAATAGTCTTTGTTTGTGATTTCCACTTGCAGTAACTTAACTTGGAACTTAAAAATGGCACTACTTTCATCATGGCGCAGATCTCCAGTCTGTTAACAAGTGAATGTACTCATAAAAGCTGCCCTCTGTGGAGCAGCCAGAAAACATGAGGGAGGATGCAGTAGAGTTTGAGAGTGAATTAAATTGCGAGAGGTGGAGTGTTAACGAATCAGCCGTGGTGTTATCCAGCTTTATGGGTCAGATCGATCTGGAAGTGGACAGACTGGGGTGTGTGGGTGTGTGTGTGTGTGTGTGTGTGTGTGTGTGAGAAAATGAGAAAGACTGAGATACAGAGTGAGAGAGAAAGAGTGCTTCAAAATTGTACTGCTCTAGTTGCAAATGAGATCTGCCGCCTAATAAAGAAAGCAGGAGATTAGGGAAAAGGGAGATGCAGAACTAGCAGAAGTAAGGCTTCAGGGAGTTAGAAATTGATAGGAAGAGAGGTAAAGAAAAGGTAAAAAGAAAATGAGGAAAAGGAAGGTGTGGGACATTCAGTAGTTTGAGCAAATTTGAAGTAAGGGAAGGTGAGAATGTAAAATAAATGTAGGATAGATGGATCAAGTAGTGCTTTTGAAAAGTTAAGAGGAACGTGACGCATTTTAGCGTTAAAAGAAATTAGGAGCTGTAAAAAAAAAAAGTGATACAGAGGAAATGATATTTAGAGTCTGGAAGAGGAAGGGGCAAAAACCAGAGACATCAGGCCAAAGACAGGGGTGGGGGGAGAGTGAGGAAAGGTAGTGAGGTAGAACTATGACTGATAACACTGTCTCACCCAGGTTGCCTCAAGGGCAGACATGACAGTCACAAAGGCAGAAAGAAAAGGAGAAGGAGGGGATAAGATTTAAAAAAGAAAAAGAGGAAAATTTGCCAGAGAAGCCAGAGGCATAAAGGGTCATAAGATGAAAGTTGAGAAAGAATGGAGAGACAGCATAAACAAGAAAGAACACTGGGTGACACAGAGATGCAAGAGAATAGATGACAAGAAAACAATGAGCAATCCTTAATGGGGGAGACAGTGAGAAGAGGAGAGGTTAGAGCAACACTGTGATGAGAATGGGGCAGAGGATGTGAGTATTACCACAAAAGAAAGTGAGTAAGACCAGAAAAATAAATTACCATCACAGCAGTAAGGCAGACAGGGAGTAAGAGTGGGAAAACATTGGAAAGTTGCAATTAAGGCAAATATGAATGTCAGATGAAGGAGCTGAAAGTAACTGGAGAGAGCACGACTGCACTGACAGTTGTTAACTGTCTGGTCTGCATGCTTTAGCAATGTAAAGTAGGGAGGAGAGAAATCTCGATGTCTTTCTTTTGCCAAACACAACAACTGTGAGAACTTAAATGCAAAAATGCATGAATTCACAGAGCTACGACTTCTGACATGACCAATCACTGCAAAGATGTATGAATGTGTCACCAAAAATAAATGGAAAGACGCTTCTTATTTTAAACATTAGCAGACAGTGCATGTGACGAGGTACCGTGTCTTTAGATTAGAGCATTCAACTGCAGCTGAGCCACATGCTTGACTCAACTTGACAAGAAACAGTGAATAATTAAATGATGCACCAAACAAAAACTCTTTCATCCAGCCTAATTTAAATCCAATATGAATGGGCAGGGAATGTTCCTCTGCCTTTCCTATCTGGTTAACAACAAGCACACTGGTTGGTTAAATGATTAGCGAGTGTATTTTAGTTTTCTAAAAGGTTACAGGGTAATGGTAGAGGAGATAATGCTGGGAGCCTCTGGGGGCTTGAGTAATCCATAATGACTGTGCAGATACAGCTTATTTTCATTCTTCTGTGAGCTTCTTTTTTTTTTTTTTTAAACTCAGAGCCTGAGATTTAGACGTACCATTGTTCAGAGCAGTGCAACACAGCACTGTAGAGTGATGGTTTCAAAAGTAGGACAGTAGTTTTAAGTAATAAAGAGTTCACACTTTGGAACTAGAACAAAGAAGACGCTGGTGTAGAACAATGCAAACTGGCACAGGAAGCAGTGGCGCTTTTACATCAATACCATCTCAATGTCTGAACTCGATCGTAATCCCAAGCTCATTCACAAACACAAACGTGCACGTTAAGTCTCGAAAACACTGAGCAGCAAACACATGCCAGGCTACAGAGGAAGCAGGATTTAAGACAGTGTAAGACTTGTGCTCTGCGGTTTAGGTTGCCGCCACTTTCTCACTTGACAGGTGTGTAAACAACTCCATGTAAAAATACACCTTCCTGTCTCTTGTGATACAGTTTCTAGGTGTTTGTCTGTGACTCTGCTTCTTATCTTTCTCCTCCAAGTCACCGCTGCTGACTAATCAACACTCCGTGTCACTCTGCCTGTAACTAGGTTACAGTTTCTATGACGACTATTATGCACGCCAATCAGTGGCAGTGACTCATCTGCACCTGATCATCAGTGAAGCTGTATTTAGGAATGTATCTGTCCCAAAGTCTGTGTCTACGGGGAGATGTTCCTGATGTGTGAGATTACAATGTAAATCTTCTGTTTTCTCTGCGACACTAAGCCTACTAAGACCTACAGTGCTTGGCTTAAATCTCACTGTGGAATTAAGGCTGACAGGGAGATGACCCGCATTTGATTCCCTGACAATCACAGCCTTCACAGTTACTCTGACGGTATGACACGTGTCTAATCTGCTCTTGCGGGTTTCCAGGTAGCTGTTACTAAGGGGACCGGCTGTTTTCTCTTTTTTGGGATGCTGTTGCTAGGCAATGAGATGTGGTGGTATAGAGGCAGGGTTCCTCTGCTTGCAAGTGTACATGTCAGAGTCACAGGGAGAATAAAACATGTGCTGCAAGGTCACCAAACACTGAGGTTATTAAACCAATGGAGCATGAAGTGAACATTAGCGCAAAGAAGAACTTTTAGAGGAAGACACAAAATAGTTCTTGTAAGACCAAGTGGACGTCTGGCATCCCAGACATCATAGCTTTAAAAACCAGTAACAACCTCTTCAACCATTTCATTCTTCCTTTTCCTCTCTCTCCAGGTCTGTGGATAGCCAGGCGTTCTACCATGCCTGTCCCCCCACCCCTCAATCCCTGCAGACAGAAACACCTGCCCCACTCACACAGCTACCGCGAGCAACGGGCAGAAAGTTCTGCAATTCCCTCCCTTTTCCCTCCATTCAACCTCTCTCGTTCTCCTCTTCCCTCCTTCCTGATCTCATCCCTACCCTCCTCATCCCATCTCCTTCACTGCGCTTGCCCCAGGACTACAAAAAGAACATTTCTTGGGTCTGTCCCTGTCCCGGCATTCCACTGGCTAACTTTGGTCACATGCTGCCTCCTGCCGTCTCTGATTGGAGCAGGGGAGACTTGGGGCGTGGTCTCGACCTGTCCCTTCCACTGCGTCTGTCGCAACCTTTCAGAGTCACTTAGCACCCTCTGTGCCGACAAGGGCCTCCTGTTTGTCCCCCCACACATTGACCGACGCACCGTGGAGCTGCGGCTGGCTGACAACTTCATCACAGAAGTGGGCGGGATTGACTTTGCTAACATGACAGGCTTGGTTGATCTGACTCTGTCCAGAAACACAATCCACCTGATTCGACCCATGGCGTTTTCTGACCTGGAAAGTCTGCGCTCTCTGCACCTTGACGGTGAGCCACGATAAAACAGCCTTAAAACCATGCATTTGCAAATGGTTACATTTAAAAAGAAGCTGAATGAAAGAGCCTATGTGTCTTGACGTGTGTTTGTACTTTTAGGAAATCGTTTGACAACACTTGGGCCAAGGGACCTCTCAGGTTTGGTTAATCTGCAACATTTGATCATCAACAACAACCAGTTGATAAAAGTCTCTGGCCAGGCCTTCGATGACTTTCTGCTTACTCTCGAGGACCTGGACATGTCATACAACAACCTCAGGAGGTACGTGTCTGTAGTAACCAGCGAAACTCTCAAGCATCGTGATTTCATTCATCCTATCCTATCCTGTTTTTTTTTTTTTTTTGTAAAATGGAGACCTATTTAGTCAGTTTTCCATTATATATATGTGTGTATAATAGCCTACACCCCTAATCCCAAGACAATATATAAACTAAATCAGACAACAAGACGATGATGAGAGCCTTTATAAATACCCTAATCTCTCCATACTGTCCCACTGAGTTGATGAATTCAGCTTATTTTCCGCTGTCAGCTTCCATTTAGAGTCTACATTAACCATCTCACTGGGAACCCTGTGGCCTGTCCTTCATCTCAACTTGGCTAGGAGAATAGTGTCCCCAGTATTTAAATATTACAGATATTACATATTACAGAAAGTGTTTATAGGATAAGTGAAACAGAAATTGTTGACTCAGACAGCTGCATCACGTAATCAGAATGAAAGAATCCAACAGAAAATAGGACCACAGGCAAAAGTTAAATCAAATTGCGTCGGCACAACTATGGCTCCAAAAATTTTTTTTTTATTATATCCTATTTTCCACACTTTTCACGCACAGATTTTTCTCAGTTCTTAAGGTAATACCTTCTCAAAAGCATACCTACAGTGCACACTGCATCAGACCAAAAGTAATTTGTATTACCTGCAGTAATATCTTACTCTTCCTTTTATAAACTGTAAATCTGCACAAATGGATATTATGTGAGCACAAACGCTGTGCTCCCAGCGCTTGATATTCTCAAGAGATATTATTTTCTTTTCTCCATTCCTTAAAGCAAAGTACCAAAATAAACAAGAATCCCAAAACTTTGCAATTCCACACATCTCAAGCTCATTTTCTCTTCATTATCTTCTACAGAGTACCATGGGAGTCCATCCAGAACATGGCCAGTCTGCACACTTTGAACTTGGATCATAACCTCATAGACCACATAGCAGAAGGAGTCTTTGGAGAGCTGTATAAGCTTGCCAGACTGGATATGACCTCCAACAGGCTTCGAACACTGCCTCCAGATCCTTTCTTTGCAAGGTTAGCTCCTAAACATTTTGTATTTTTTGTTAACAAAACTATGCCTCTGCTAGATGCCACAGCCAGAAAACCTCTATGTGGCTTTGAAGATGAAATGGTTTGGCACATAAAACACAATAGGTACTGTATACGGATACTGTTCCATTTTTAGTTACCCCATTGCATATTTATTTGCTACTAAATAATCCATGTGTAGAGTACAGTATGTATGCACCATTAAAGCCTTTGTTCTTTCCACTCCACTGACTAAAACAGAAGCGACAACAGGTACAGTGGAGGATAAAAAGTTCGGTTTTATATCCAATAACTCTGCCAAGCTGAACAGCCACAGTTATCACAAAGTGATATTTTAACTTTGGTAAGATAAACCCATGAAAAACAAGCCAAGGCAACTTTCTTTGGACTGCAGACTTTTTTGTCAAGTACAAATGCCATTAGTCACGATAGAATTCCTATTTATATTTTATGATAAATCTGTGACAATGCCAAGAAAGTTCTTGTGAGTCAGTCTTTGTGAGACAACCTGCACAGCCAGAGCTCCTTTTTCAAGGCTCAGTATTTCAAGTACATGAAAAATGCTTAGCCATTCAGGCTAAAGCCCAACAGAATAAATGAGGACATGCTGATGCTTCTGTTGCTCAGCTAAAATTATCATTCTCTTCGTTCATACTTATTACTAAAATAGGTCAAACGTGTGTAAGAATGCATGCAAGACGTATGCATGAATATAAACTTTACACTTGACCAGTTAATTTCACATAGAACTGTTACCCATTAAGAAAATATTATCACATTATTTGCAAAAATGTGTACTACAGGATTTAAATATTCAAATAAAACCCTGACTAGTTAAACTGAGAGCTTCTTAGGTGAGCAATCCTCCTAATTACCTTTCATTTGAGTTCAATCTTTCTTCTAAATGCCACAATCTTCAGAAACTGGCTAATTTAAATTTGACCACCTGCTTTTATTGTTCTTGCACTCTGCTGGTAAATATTTTACTGTACTCAATTTTTTATATATTTATGGAAATTATTTAATTTTTTTTTTGATCCTCTGTTTTTCTGCAACACAGTTCTCCCTGAGTGAACATTTATCTCTCTCGTCTTTAGGTCACAAACTGGTGCTATAAGTCCAACTCCCTACAACGCTGTGATAAGTTTGAATTTTGGAGGTAACCCACTACACTGCAACTGTGAGTTGGTTTGGTTACGGCGTCTCATACGCAGTGACGACATGGAGACTTGTGCCACACCTGCTCACCTGGCCGGAAGGTAAATGTTGGAGTGTCTGATTTGAAACATAAGAAACCATTTAATATTTTAAGACGGTTGATCAAGTGAATTATTAGTTTGCACAATACATACACTTTAATGACACTAAGAATTGAGCTGTAAAATAGCGTTGTAAACTGCAAACGTCTTAGAATTAATTTAACCTCAGGGTCCATCTCCTCCCTGGATTTATCCAGCATTTTTTCTAGTGTTCAGGTCCCCCCAGTCAAGAGTATAGAGCAATAACAAAAACAAAATGAGCATCTGTTGTAGTCATCGGCCATCATCATCAAAATTAATTACCATTTGCTTTGTCTTGTTTGTACAAAGTATCATGGGGAAATCTTCAGATGGTTCTGCACCACTGAACTTTATCCTTAAAACTCACTGACAAGAGCAGATAGATCTCAAAGTTAATGTATGACAGTCTTCAAAACACTCTTCGAAGCAAAGAGAGGTGATGTTGTTCACCCTCTTCCATCTTCCTTCTGTTTGTGTCTCAGGTATTTCTGGTCAATTCCCGAAGAAGAATTTACTTGTGAGCCGCCACTTATCACCCGTCACACCCACAAGCTGTGGGTTCTGGAGGGTCAGCGAGCCACACTTAAGTGCAGAGCCATTGGCGATCCAGAGCCAGTAATACACTGGGTTTCACCAGATGACCGCATTATCGCAAACTCATCCCGGACGAGCTCTTTCAGTAATGGAACCTTGGATATCTTAGTAACAGTTGCCCGGGATGATGGAGCATATACATGTATTGCAATAAACGCAGCGGGAGAAGCAACTGCAACCGTTGACCTGAAAATAATTCCACTGCCTCACCGAGGTGGAGGTGGAAAGACAGGGAATACCAATGTGAATACAAAGAACAACAGAAATGTGACCAATGGGATTTTACGGACTGATCCCGGCTCCTCTGATATCAGTACAGGGAAAAGTGGAGGGATTAATAATGCAGGACGTGGTGCAGAGGTAGAACATGGGAGGCAAGGTGGAGCTGAGGATGAAGACGCAAGCAGTGGCAGGGCCTCCGTAGGAGATCGACCTGATGGAGGGAGCATGGAGGATGATGATGAGGATGAGGATGAAGGAAAGATGGTTGGAGTACAAGGAATTACCTCGACCTCCGCTCAGGTCCGATGGGATTTAGGACGTTTGGCGACAAATTACGTTGTCTGGATGTATCAAATACAGTACAACTGTTCAGCGGATGAGACCCTCATCTACAGGTCAGTACAATTGTTGCTATATACATTTATACATATATAATATCATTTTGACCCATTACTCATGTTAATGATAAACATCAGCATGTGTAACTACCAGATTTGCCTTCACTTTTTTATACATTATTATCTAAAAGTCTAGCTGTCCCGCCTCAACACATCTGAGTTTCTCAGGGGATTACCAAAAAGACAGAAGTCAAATACGTTTGAAGTTATTTAATAGGCAGATATGGATGTGAGTGGAATACAAGGACAGATCACAGAGGAAGTAAAGGTTATTTTTGGTGTCTTGTACCGGCCTGTAAATGGTTGAGAGAGTATGAGTGAAGAGAAATAATATTGGATACTTGGAAAGCTCTAGGGAGTATTGGAGGATTTATTGGAAACTAAAGGTTAAGGAAAAGACACCAGTAGACCGTTTGATGGACAGAGTCTGAAAAATAATAATAATGTGGAATTACATGATATGAATGAGGCCTCTGAGACTTCAAGAGGTAGAGGAGAGGGACCAAGGAGGACAGGAAGGATCGTAGATTGGTTCTACCCAAATCACCAAGGGAGAGATTCAGATAAAAGAAGGATGGGAAATAGGAGAGAGCCTGACAGACACTTAAGAGAATAGGGAGAAGTGGGACAAAATCCACCTCAAGGAAGAAAAATAAATAAATAAAAACAAGTAGGGGAAAGCTAACAGTAATTATTCTTATCCATCACTGGAAAGTAGTAGCACAAAAGGAAAAAAATAAAAGTGTAGAACAGAAATACACTGAGGGCTAACGAAAGAGAAGAGTGGTAGCTGGGAGGACTCACATAATGATTGAGAAATCCTTCTGTCCGTCATTATGAAATGAGGATGGAGCTCACAGAAGTTTAGAAAAGAGAAAGCAAGTAGAGGTATAAAAATAAACAGAAACTAATTAGGTCAGAAGGGAGCAGAGGGAAGAGGAAATACAGTCGGTGAAAAATTGTGAAAGCCCCGCATCACTGCAAACTACTGCTGGGAAGTGATTTGGAGAAAGGAAAGGATGGAGGTGAGGAGGTGAAATGGTGTCTCATTGAAATCAAACAAATGAGTTTGGCAGTCCTTCGACATGGGCTGATATTAAACACGGGGAAAAAAACAGAATGATTGAATGCAGTTCAAATTCCACTGTGAAAAATAGGAAGTCCATCTCAGGGAGCTTTGCATGAGAAATCATATTAATCATATTTAAAGCACAGCAAAAAATGAGTCAAAGCCGGACACTGACATTTGCAGAATATGCTGCTGGATTATTTGAAGAAAATGCATTCAATTTCTATGGAGTCAAATACCTCTTCAAAACAAAAGGTTTGTACTGGTGAAACGCCCTTTGTGAAAGTACAAACTTTTTAGATAAGGAAACAGTAGCATCAGCAGAGCTGGGGGCTCAGCTGTGCAGCTCCAGACAAAAAAAAAAAAAAAAAAGAAAGCGCTGTCAAACACAAAGATGCTCCGGGAAAAAAATAGACCGGGCCTCTGCAAAGAGTCACAGGAGAAATGCTGAAAATCCAGAAGGTAGAGTTTAAATTATCTAAAATGTCTGACTTTAAACAAATCACACCTTCATCACAACACAGAACTGTCCCCAAGGAGACAGAGTGAGACACTGCGGCTATCTCGAAGGTGAAATTGAGATATAAACTCTAAAGCGAATTGGAAAAGAAGAAAGTTCAAAGAGTAGAAGAGAGAAGTATAAGGGCTCTGAGGGAGGAAGCAACGAAATCTGTCTCCTAGGACAGATAAAGAGGAAATGGAAGGAGGGCAGTATTTGAAAAGAGGGATGATGTAGTCAGGGATTTCTAGTATAGATTTCTATCATGTTATCAACATGCCAAGGTAAATCGCACTATCACACCAGCTACCAGGTCTGAGAACAGAGGGCGTCAGCCGGAGAGAAACTGACTCATGAATTCAAAAGAAGAGAACAGGGGAGTGAGTTTTAATGTCCTCTATCAGGGATTTGTGTACCTCCTTTGGGGTCGTTGATAGTGTTGCGGCTGCCGCTGCATGTGTTTGGCCGCAGGAGTAATCATAGTAGCACAGCTCACAGACAGTAACAGGAGGAAAGATAACTTTAAAGCCTAAAACAAACCAAAGCTACGTATGAGCCGCTGGCAAAGCAGACAGGCTTGTGTCTGCAGCATTAACTACAAATAAAGTCAGATTGGATTTATGTCCACAAAGAGCCATCCAAGTAACGTGAGCTCAGGAGAGTCCTTTCAAGACTCTCATTTAAACACTGTGTTAATTAGATTTTTTTTTTCTGTTTCTCTCAACATGGCCATGTTAGAAAAAGTGCTTTATTATGTGTCTGTAATGACAGCAGAGCACACTGCATGGCTGCAAGATTTAATTAGCTTCTAGTGTCTGTCTGATACCGATGGCATCTGTGACAGTACCAGGTGGGGTGCCTTCCATGTGGCATCTACAGGGTACAGCTCACTGTGAAGACATCAGCTTAGCTTCCTTTTTTTCTCCTTCACACTAAGTCTTAATATAAGAAATACAAAATGTCTTTATTACTATCATTATTATTAGTTTTGATGTCCCAGAAAATTAAACATTTTGTGTAACTGCTGTGGGAATGCAACCAAATTGGCACATTTGGCCTCTATTTAATGCCAACACGGTGATACCAAGTACCCGAAGGACAAAAAGGGAGGAAAAGAAAGCCCCTCCATATTAATGAGGCAGCATTTGTAAAGCGACCTCTGTGGTGCCATCTGTTAGAATAACCGTTCCACCTCTCCAGCATGAATTTAAGTATACTAACACTTTGTCCTTTATCTGGCCATGGGAGTTTTTTTGTCTGCCCTAAATCATGCAGCAAATGCAGTTTAAACTGAAGCCCATCGTGTCGTCTACAAATAGCATCAATATGCTGGGTAAAAACAGGTCTATACTTTAATGATACCAGGCCAGTAAGAGTGTACACCGCCTTAAAAGTTTGCAGGTTGGACTGAAAGTGCTTGGACCAATTTTAAAAACGTGTGCAAATCACAACCAGATCAAGCAACATGTAGGCCAATTTAAGTGCCAAACTGGACAAGAATTTAATGGCACTGGAAACAATACAATTTTAAAAAAGGTGTGCACAAAGATGGAGAGAGGATCATGCAGAGTTGGAGAAATAATGGGATTATAAAAGCCAAGAGTGCCTATAAAGAAACAGAAAGTTGAAAAAAAAAAGGCCTAAGTAAGTGGCATGCAGAGAACTTCACAGATGAGAACTGGGGTAATGAGTCATAGAAATGAAAGGATTTAAGAAGGACCTGATAATTACGCAAATATCTATACCAACCCTAATTATGCAGCACATTTGACGAAAATTTGTCATAAAGTACGTACAAGAACGAGCCAGAAATCAACACTGAAACCTGTGATAAATTGTAGCAACTACAGTGGAACCTCGAGATACGAGCTACCTGGAATACAGGTACATTTTCTTTGTCTAGTTACGAGTGCTCACCCGAGCTCAATTTTTCCACTCGACACTGTCGCCCGTCTCACTCACTATCCATCGCTATAATATAAAATGTTTTCTTAATAATTATTACTTTATATTATCAATATATTTGTTTATATCTATGTTTTTGACATTACGATAGGGGGCATTTAATTAAATTAATACATTGTATATTTCTGGGGGGCTGGAAGGAATTAATTGTTTTTTGTTATTTCTAATGGGGAAAATTCAATCGAGATATGAGTGCAGTTGTAGAACAGATTAAACTTGTATCTTGAAATGGGATGATATGATATTGGTGGAGAATTATATCAGAATCCGTTTATAGCACAGTATGATAGCTAATACAACAACTATGATAAGAATGAGGATCAATGCAGTGGCTGAGAGAGAGAGAGATAGAGGTGTAATGAGAGATACCACGGTGGAGCGGGGAGGACACGTGCAGAGACAACCGTGGGGAAAGTGGGAGGTGAAAAGAAAAGAGCAGGGACTGAGAAGGCCATTAAGTGACATGGTGAAAAGATAACAGGGATTAAATCAGGGAAGAACAACAGGTTCACAGTGGCACCTCAGGGAAAGACATAATTAAGTGTTAACAACAGCGTCGAACTGCGTTAACTCACATCACAGGCATAGAGAAGAAGGACAAGGTAAAGGTTCAGGCCTGCGTGCATGTCAACGTGTAATCTGGTGTTAAGGAAAAAATATAAATGTGCACAAAAGGTCGGATTTTAACCTTTCAGCTAACTTAACAGTAGAATCACAAACTAATTATAAAAATGGAAAAATAGCCCTCTGCTACCATGACAGAGGGAAGAAGAAAAAAAAGGATTTGATTAATTTGAGGGAAACGCCAACAAGATGGTAGAGTCCAACAAATCAAGGCCTACGATGAGGAAAGGGCAAGAAAAAAAAAGACATGAGAAAAAGAAACAAGACTAATATAGATGTCAGCCGGAAGAGGGGTTAATTGCATTGGTGTTGTTCCTTGTCCCTCGCTGGCTTGTCACTTTCTGTGCCCTGTCTTGTCTGGTGTCAGACCACCAGTCTTCGTATCACAGGTCGAGTGGAAGGGAGGGAGAAAATGGGAAAATGGAGTAGGAGAAGAGGAGGATTAGAGTAGAGCGTTTTAACTCTTTAACTCCGCCCCTCGTGCCATTACTCAATTTCCATTCCAACCTAATCTGTTCTGGGTGCTAATAATGACTTTGTTACTGTGTCGCTGGCTTAAACAAAGCACTCCCTTGTCTCTCACTCTCCTTCTGCATCTCAGTGTGTGTAAGTGTACGTGTATGTAGGGTGAAGGGTTTAACCACAATTACATGAAAGAGATAGGTACACATTTCCCTGCAATCCAATTTCTCATTTAAACCCAACATGGAAATAATAAAGGGAAAAATTCGTTATATAAATATATATATATAAAGAATAATTATAACATCCCTGCCTCTGAGAACAGCAATGTAATTATACAGCCAAATTCATGTGACATCATTAATATGACCTGGTTGTCATATCATCTATATACATGGACATACATTATTTCTCCCACATTACGGGTTTAGGGGGGATATAATTTTACGTGTCTGAGATTAGTAGGCCCCCCACTGAGACGCATATTATCACGTACATGCGACAACAGGATAGGGTTAAAATACATAATGCAGTGAGGACGAGGGCATCAGAACATGAAACATGCAAGTGTCTGTGAATGTGTCCATATCTGCCATGTATATTTCAGTGGCTGTGCACGCCTGTTGTTGGCAGCCAGTGTAGCAAACACTAGGGAGGTGATTCACAGTCTTATATGGAATGGAGAAATGGTTTGGCAGCAAGGAAAAGGGGGAACATAAAAGAGGGAGGGTGACAAATTTTAAATTTGGGCATGCAAGGGGAAAAAGGAGGAGAGGACAGAGGAAAAGAAGAAAAGAGAAGGAGAGGAGAGAACAGAAGAGTAGAGTTGACCTTGGCTGCTGAATAATGGCGCTCAGTTATAGCTGTGTCTAATAAAGACGTAGCACAATGACTGTGAAAAGCAGAAAGGCTGAGGTGAGGTCAGGCGCAGTGAGCATTGACCAGGGATTATCTGCCAGTAGAGCTGACTGGTTTAAAGACAACAGAAGAAGAGAATTAGATGGAGAAGTGATGAACAGGAGGAATAAACATAACTTAAATCTACGTCAAATGATAAAAGGAGCAATGCTGCACATTTATATGAGTAGAAAATGCGGGAGATTACAAAGTAAAAGAAAAGGGCAGCAG